CGCCATTGACGCCACTGTTTCTGGAGGCGATCGCGGAGCTCGGAATGCAGCTTTATCCATCTTCGCCGGTGGAGAGGAATCAATTGTCCAAAGGCTTAATCCATTATTTAACCTTCTCGGCAAAGTTTATTACATGGGTGCCCCTGGAAAAGGGCAGTTCACAAAATTGGGAAACCAAGTAGTAATTGCTTCCTCTATGGTAGGACTATGCGAGGGCTTAATTTACGCGCATAAAGCTGGTTTGGATTTGAATCATTTTGTGGATGCCATTTCAACAGGCGCAGCTGGCTCAAAATCATTAGACTTGTATGGTAGCAGGATACTTAATAGGGATTTGGAACCTGGATTTTATGTGAATCATTTTGTCAAAGATTTGGGAATATGTTTGAGGGAATGCCAGAACATGGGTCTGGCTTTGCCCGGGCTGGCGTTGGCTCAGCAGCTCTATCTCTCGCTTAAAGCTCATGGTGAGGGCGATTTAGGAACCCAAGCTCTCATTCTAGCGCTTGAGAGGATTAACAACTTGTCCCTTCAATCTGAGGCTTCTGCTATTGGCAAACCTTAGATCGATTATCTCTTTGATCCTTGACTACTATGTATTCATTTCTTAATGTTAAAATGTCCTTACATTTGTATTTTGTATCCGTTTATCCTTTTATGAATGTTATGTTCTTACATATAACAGAAGGTGAGAGTTTGAATAATCTATAGTAATTTGATGAGACTTCCAGGGCAAAAGATCTCGACTTACTTTTGTCACTGCACTGAGACTTGAAGTTGTTGGCTACAGTTTCTTTAGTGTTAATTGTGAATCAGGGTATGCACTTGAACATATGGTCCTGGATTTAGATTTGTCCAAACGAGGGCAGCGTACATGATCTCAAATAGAGTGTTTCTAGAAGTAAAAAAACATTAAGAAACTCCATGGAGAAACAGAAGGGCAAAGGTCATCCTTTTTATTCATGGCAATAAAATCAAGTACTATGGAGAAAAACACCACAGCTAAAGAACAGCTTTGGTTTTAACAAATACTAAAAACACCACAGCTAAAGAACTACTAAAAGTATAGTTAAGCAGAAACAGTTTCTGGTTAAGACAATACTTAAGAAACTAATTCCTTGTGACTCTGAAAATCCTAAACAAGCAAGCCTTGAAAACAATACAGCACCTGATAATTCTTTCTCCAAATTCCTCCGACAAATGGAAGTAACTGTATCCCCATGACTTCTTTATTGTCAAGCTGCTAAACGTCACCAAAAACGTTATGACATACCTACTCCTGCACTCATTAAAAACCACAACCTTTCATCATCTTCTTCTTCTTCAATTTTCTTGTGATCTCTTTTTCTTGGTGGAGAGCAATCTGTAATCAATGGTTTCCCACAGAGTTCTGGATTACCTTCAAAACTTGAAGGATTAGTGAAGGTTCCAAATTGGTTTTTCGATGGGATAGGGCAACCAAGGTTGTTATATGACAAGTTAAGATAGCTTAGTGTAGTGATTGAAGTCATGCTCAATGGGATAGAACCAGAGAGATGGTTAGATGAAAGGTCTAGTGTCTCCAATTGCTGCATGCTCCCTATGTCCTCTGGAATTCTTCCTGATAATTGGTTCCAAGATAAATTCAGAGTGCCCAAGGCTGACAGACCTGTAATCTCATTCGGGATTACACCGTGAAGATTGTTGAAAGAAAGATCAATAAGATTTACTTGATCTAAGGTAGAGGTGTATGTCATATCCTTGTTCCCTTCTTAATCAACACCATCTTGGGCGTAAAAAACATAGTTGAAATAGTAGTAATTGGGTTGCCACTTGTAAAATTTCACGGACTTAAGACCTTTCAAATTTCATAAGCAGGAAGGGATAGAACCTGTCAAATTATTATGGGAAAGATCAAGAATTTGAAGGCCAAAAAGTTGGCAAAGTGTTGGTGGAATGTGTCCACCAATCATGTTTTCTGTCATGCTAAGCTTTTGCAAGGATTATAGACTTTCTCCGAACCACTCGGGTATGGTGCCACTGATTTTGTTCTCTCCGATATCAAGAGTAAGCAAGCTTTTGCAATTGCTTAATGATTTTGGAAGTTCTCCAAAGAGGTTATTGCGACTCAATCTCAACCAAAAAAGTGAAGGTGGTGAACATAATGAAGGAGGAATACCACCTGAAAGATTATTCCCCGACAAATCTATGACATGAAGTTGTTGCAAATCAGCCCACCAGTCAGGTATCTTTCCAGACAAATGATTGTCTGAGAGGTCCAATCTCATTAGCTGCTTCACTCTTGTTATTGAATATGGTATAGATCCTGTAAATGTATTTCCAGAAAGATCTAAAACTTGGAGTTTTGTCATCACATGACCAATGTTTATGGGAATTAATCCTGAAAACAGGTTGTTTGCAAGATTCAAATGTGTTACATTTGGCCAAAGAGGTAACGAAACCATGGAAGCTATTGGAACTTAAGTCCACCACAACACCATCACTGTAACTAGAATAGAAGTCCACTGTCCGGCTTTGGGATGATGGAAAATTTACTAACCTTGGAAGATTTCCACCGATCTCGTTATCTGATAGATCTAGAAACTGCAATTGTGAGCACATTGTCCAAAGCCAAGGAGGTATAGGATCTGAAATGGAGTCGTTGGAGAGAATATTAGTATGAAGCTGCTTTTGAGTTTTCAGCCATGTCGGTAACTTGGAGCCGAAAGCACATTTCCTTATCTCGATATATGTGAGGCTAAATGGAGGAATCCATTCACTGCTCAAGTTGACAGAAAACCTTTCTCCACATGATATGGCTAAAAACTTCAGTTGATGGAGTCTTGCAAAGTCATTTTGTGAAAGATTGCCTTCCCAATCATTTGTTGCAAGGAATAACTGAGTTAATTCAGTGAGATTAAATATGCTTTCAGGTAAGGCTCCCTTCAGTTGGCTTTGTCCCAAGTCCAAAATTTCCAACCTTGACAGTTGCTCAATAGATGTGGGAATCGTGCCAGATATCTGGTTAAAAGATATACTAAGTAAGAATCCTTAAGTTCTTCAAATGTCCTAATGAATTTGGAAACTGCCCTGTCAACCGGTTTCCATCAAGGCCTAAGAACTCTAGGGTCGTGTTGCTGCAGTTAGACAACCCTTCCACTACTCTGCTTATGTCTCCGTTGAGTTTATTCTGTGTTAGATACAAATCCTGCAGATTACAGAGTTTACCCCACTCAACATTTGATATTGAGCCTTCTATGTTGCTGATTGCTATATCAAGTGTCTCAAGGGTGGTGGCATTAGACACCTTTTAGGCAACACAGAATTAACAAAGTTATTGCCTGAAAGGTAGAGATAAGAAAGGGAAGTCATTTCCCAGTTGGGAAAGGAGTAAGGGAGATAGCGAAGATCACAGTTTTGCAAACTGAGAGTCACTAAAGATGGCAGCTTATTAAAAGACTCAAACCAATGTGTTGCCGAAGACAGTTTCACATAAGAAAGATCAAGATACTTCAGAGGACAAACCAGAAACCCAATTCAAATCTTTGATCCAACTACTTTCAACAGTAGCGCAAGGATAGGAAAATGCATGTAGGCTTAACTATTGTAAATTCGACAGATTCCCAAATGAAGGAGGAATACCAACGAGAGATGAATGGGTGAGGTTAAGATATTGTAATTTTTCAAGAGAACCCAAGAAAGTGGGAGTGGCAAGTCCTTGGAAGTCATTTTCACCAAGGTCTAAATACTCTAAATGTTGCAAGTCAAGTAAAGCAGGACTTATCTTGCCACCCAAGCACGTCAAATTGCCAGAAATCAGATATCCCATTTTCTTCTGATAGCAATTGCCTGATGTATCTTTGAGATCAAGCCTGATGACATTACCAGTTTGTATGTCACAAGAAACACCTTTCCAGATGCAGCATTCTTTGCCAATCCAAGAAGCCAATCGGTCAGAGGGATCCGTGAGACTTTGCTTGAATCTTAATAGGCCATTCCTCTCACTCTCTATACATCTTACTTTGGATTATGTAGTATTTGTGAGAGGTAAAGAAGCAGTGCTAATTGCTTCAACTGAAACAAGTAGAGGAAGGGATTGAAGAAAGAAAATAAGTACAATAACTAAAACTTTCCGACATGACATTTTGAGATAATCTTATAAGTAAAAGAGATGGTAAGTTTAATAATGGAACTAATAAGCACTGACAGCATAAAGAGACATTCATCGAATTACATTCTGGTTCAGCTATATGTGCCAACACTAGCAGGAAATGGATGGTAAAGACAAGTATTATTTGTGGTCCTGTATGTACCTTAACTGGAGTCTATTACAAAGACATAGTGAGACTGATTATTCAACTCCAAGAAATAAATTTTATATTTATCTTAGTTACATGAAAACAACTAAGAAAAGTCAGCTTACAGGAAATGCAAATTTAAGCAGCAAGAGAAATAAAAAGAAAAAAAGACACTGATATGAACTTTTTGGAAATAAATATCACCCCACTTGTCTCACAGGTGAATAAGGACCACTTGAGTGGCTACAATATTGAGCCAAAATATCTTACTTTAGCCCTCTATTGCCTTCTTTTTTTCTTTCTCAATGATGAGGAAAGATGGAATGTTCATCTCTGTACAACAAAAATTCTGTAAATGGAACTTTAGCTTTCTTTCCAAGAACACCTGAGAATATTAACTGCCACACTTTTCCATCAACATGTTCTTTTCCATTAAATTCTACAAACCCCTTTGCTACCCTTTCTTCTTCTTCTGCCGTGAAGTGTTATGGTCAGAATTATGGGGATGAAGAAGCCCTTTCTACTTCTCTGGCATATGATGTTCTTGGTGTTGCTCCTAATTGCTCTGCAGATGAGTTGAAATCTGCTTTCAGGAATAAGGTACTATTCCCTCTATCCCAATTTATGTGAAATTGTTTGATTGGGCACGGGGTTTTAAGAGAGAAGAAAAAAAGAACTTTTGAAACTTCTGGTCTAAAATAAGTCATAGGAATTTCTGTGGCAATAAGGGTAAAATGGGAGGTTTGAAGTTAAGTTAGTACTAAATATTGACATTCTTTTTTTGGGATTGATTAAAAAGAGAAAGTGTCACAGAAATTGGGACAGAGGCAGTATAGAATTTGCATTTTTGGATAAACCATTGAAGAAACCATGTCGGTTTTCCTGTTTTCTTTTGAATTTCTGAAAAATATCAGTCTTATACCTTGAGCTTGCAAGGTTCTTTATTTTTCTGGCTATGAATTTATGGAACCTCACTTGCTAGTTTGAAGTTGTAAGATAGACTTCATGCAAATTGCACACTGAGTTTTTGGTATAGGTGTCCCGGGGCTAATAATCTACGAAGAAAGGAGGGGGAACTGGGAAGTCTAAAATTCCTGAAAACTCTGTTTTTTTATGATTACATTGGCAATACAATGGATAACGGGGATGGAATAGCTGCTTGAAAATTGCTAATGATGGTTCTTTTGTTTGGTTTAATAATTGATGGAAATAGGTTAAGAAGTTTCATCCTGATGTAAGGAGAGATGGGAATAGTTCAGATAAAATGATTCGCCGTGTCATTCAAGCCTATGAGGTAAATAGTGCTTATTGCTGATGACAGCAAACAAATCAACCAATTTGGTCTCATGCTTTTTGCTCAACATTCTAGTTAGCTTTTTGTTATATAATAGGAAAATCCGAAGGATTTATCTTTCAAGGGAATATTAATATGATTTTAACTGAGTAGTATGCAGACAGTAAGATAGAAAAGCTGCTGGTAGATAGTCCTTTATTACCAGTTTTTTCATGTTTTTGGATAAAATGGTACAGTGCAAAAGAAATTTAGGATCATTCTGTATGTAGTTATAAAATTTGGTTCTAAACTGTTTCATAAAACCTTAGAAAAAAATTTAAGGCCTCTAGGTTTACAGAGGAAATTCAAAAATCAAAAGGCTTTCTTTTAGTTGCTTAAATTTTCTCTCTCAAATGATAGCTGACTCCTACTGTTTAAAATGGATGCAGATGTTGTCCAACTTCACAAAGTCAGAGATAATTGAAAGGTAAAATGGCTATAAGATCATAATAGCTAAAATCCTGAAATTTTGAATTTTCACATCCTAATCTAGTGATCTGACTGCAGCATTTCGTCTGTTTTATTTTTTGGAGTGGTGGTCCTTCAGGTAATAAGTTTTTGGCATATTCACTGTTTGAGTTCTGCAGGGAATGCTTAGATCCATTTGATCAGCCAGAATGTGAAGCATTTGATCTCTTTGTTAATGAGACTGTTTGTATTGGAAAAGGTAACAAGTCCTTTTATGAGAAATTTCCATCATGATCAGCACTTGCAAATAGCGGATGTTAAAAATAGTAGTTTGCTTCTTGTGAAATCCTGTTATCAGCTTCTTATTAAAGGCCTGCATTTCATATTTTATGAAATAAATGTGGCAATGGCCAAAAGTGCAATGGAAATCAGTATTTTAAACAGTTATAATATCATTAAAATCAGTATTGATGATTTGGTAATACTTTCATACTATTACTGATCAATGCAAACATGGTAATGCAACTAAGACAGCTCTAAAGTGTAGCAACAACCTATTTTCCATATTTTAGGGATCTGTTTGCCTTGTCTGAGTACTTAGTAGTAGTTAGTAAGTTGTCACACCTTGCACAAAAGGATCTCCTGGCTAATCCTGATACTAGTAGTTTTCTAAGGTCTCCACAGCTATCTAAGCTCTACTCCAGCAATTTCATAACAATTTAGTTTTCATTAGTGAATCCAGTGATGACCTCCTCCATCAGTTTCTGATAAATTATCTTTCGGAAAAATGTCATAGCCTGCAAGTGATTCTTCCAGTAGACTGTCTTTATGGAAACATATCCCCTCAATTATCAGAATGCTTTGAATGATACAAAATTTGTGCAGTTCCTGATCTCCCTCTTTTACGATATATGCAGGTTGCCAATTTTCATGTGTTAAGAAAGCACCTCATGCATTCACTTTTTCCTCGTTGACAGGAACTGCGCAAGCAACTTCTCAAGGTCATATAATAGTACTGAATACTGCAACTCCTTTGTTACTTCTGTCAGAAATTAGTCTGCTAACAGGAAAATTTAGTGAAATTTAGTGAACAAAAGGAAACATGGCAACCACTGAAAGACAAGACAACCTACATTATTTCTGTTTGGCCTATTAAAAGAAGGTTTTATCCTCTCTTTTTTATCTGGCTAGTGAACCAAAAGTTCTATATGTTCAGGACATGGTGAAGATTACCAAGTCCATCTTGCAGCTGGTCAATGCCCCAGGAGCTGCATACATTATGTTACACCTTCTCAAAGAATAGTTCTTGAAGAGCTACTTGGCAGGTATTTTTACTCCTTGACTCAACTTTCGTCCTGCTTTTGTAAAAATGGAAGAAGGCAAACTTTCAAACAGGAAGAATCCCAAAAAAGAAGTTTATATAAATGTTTACACAGGATAGCACCTTAAGTTATAATGCAGTCTGCTCTCCTTTTGGCTCCAAGTCGTTGTGAATTATATTTAAATGTTCTTTTTTGCTGCTGTCCGTTATTTTCTAATCATTATTTTGTGAATTTTCTTCTTTGTAGCATCATGAGCACACCTTATGATACATCAGCAGAAGCAGACTTGCTTTATTCGCTAATTGTAAAAGCTCGTTTTGAGAACAATCGCTACCAGAAGCCCAAGAAGCAACCTAAGGCCTCAACCAAACATGTAGACTGGTTCTAAATCTTGAAAGTCCTCATAGAAAACCACCTTATTGTGTGTAGAAACTCGGAATTTGAACAGAGGCTGCCACTTCAAAGGCTATGCAATGCTGAAGTGATCACATAAACGATGGGGGAAATATTATTTGAGTTGACTGTCAACCTTATGCTATGTTATCGAAGTCCTAAATGGTCTTCACTCTGCAGCAGCATATGAAACATATGCTGGGCACAACTGTTGGGAAAAACAGCTGCAACTGACTGTCTGAATATTTGGTGATATGAGATTGATGTAGATATGGAAAATTTACTTTGTTAAATAAACTATTTATAATATCAATGTATTTTAAACTGTTGTAACAGGCAACCTGCCTTATTTCCTAGTTTACTAATCCTATTTTTTATGGACGATTACTTGTAATTATCTTTTAAGTGACCTGATAATATAAAAATTATTTTGCTCTATCAGTGTATATTAGTTAAACTCTTTCCGTAAAGGTGCCAGCTACTATATAGCAAGAGAAATATAGTATACCTCTTCTCTGCAACCCACTCCCACATTCTAAGTTTGAACGAACCTCAAAAGTTAAATTTGGAGCTGGAGCTTCTATTTTTATTACCTTGGTCGCCACAGCTTTTATCTTCTGGACAAAAACGTACCATTCATTGAGAATGTATGCATACATTCACTTTACGGGATTTCATGAAATGATAGATTGAAACTCCAGGTCTGTATGAGAAATGAAATGATACAGTTAAAGCAAATTTCATCTATAGGAAAACCATTGTTATTTACTTTATTGAGGAAGTACCTCACAATTTTACAAATCAAATTGTACAATCTTGAAAGTAATAGAAGCCGTAAAGGGGAAAATTCTCCTGTTGTACCAACTAAGAAGGACATTGAGAAAATATCTTCAAAGAACGAAGAATCCTTCAATCTCAAGCACAAACAATGAATGATCACAATTCACATTCCTTGAACTGAGAATTTCTTTGATGTGGTTGAAGCTCGTGGTCGCTGTTTGAGTCCACTCATCATCATCTTCATCCCATCAATCTTCTGTACAGATTTTTTGCTCTTTAATGGTGAAGCTAGCCTACTTACCAATCTTGATGGTGAAAATGACCTCATTTTGGAGGGTGTAGAAGCTATCTTGTTTGCCAATCTTGATGGTGAAAATGACCTCATTTTGGATGGCGAAGAAGCTATCTTGTTTGCCAATCTTGATGGAGAAAATGACCTTCTCAGTTTGGCAGCTGCAGACATCTTTGGGGACCTCTTGCTCAAACTTGTTGCTCTAGTAGGAGAGACAGAAATTTGTGGAGGGCTCCTGATTTTCACTTGAAACTTTGGCGGAGACTTCCCCACAAACTTAGTGCCCAAACTTGTTACCCTGGTAGGAGACACAGAAAGTTTTGGGGGGCTCCTGATTTTCACTTGAAACTTTGAGGCTTTGGGTGGAGACTCTGTCAAGAACTTAGTACCCAAACTTGTCACTCTGGTAGGAGATGCATGAAGTTTTTGGGGGCTTCTGATTTTCATTTGAAGCTTTGGGGCCTTGGGTGGGGACTTCACCAAGAACTTATGGGGTGATTGTCGATTTCTAGCAATCATGGGAGATTGCGTTTTAGACAATTTCTGCTGCTGTGAAGTTGGTGATGAATGGAACAGTGGGTTCGGAAAAAGGACAGTCTTTTTCACCCATGGCCTATTCCTTGGGGAAACTCTATTAGCAATGTACTTGCAATTTTCTTTCTCACATTCCCTCTGCTGCACTGGAGAAACCTTGAAGTTTATTCGTGATTTTGCTCGTCGTTTTGATGGTGTATCAGACTCTGTCCTCATTGTTTGCAAGGTTACCTGTTTCTCTCTCTTTCTACGCGATCGGAGCTCAGAGTTTTCGGGGCTTGGCTTCTGGTTTTGCCTCTGTGTGAGTGGAGTTTTCGGGTCATCGGACCCCTTGGGACCTACTGCCTTCACTATATCTCTAGCAAATTGACTTGCCTGTTTAATTTCAGCCACTGTTTCTCCTAGAAGCATTGCTGGTAATGACATTCGCCGCCATTCCCCTGTTCCCACCAAAGTCCCAAAATCATCAACCTTTGAAACCAAGAGTTGGAAGAACACAAGTCAATAATTATAAAAGACAGAAAGTTACCTGCATTTGTTGGCAATTTTCCTGGAGGAGATTTACGCGAAGTAGCATTCTTGATCCTTCGAATTAGTATAGAGAAATTGGGGTTACACAAAGATACTAAATTGTAAAAGAAAACAAAAATCAGCAAAGATTGAACAGGGAGTTAGTATGTTGTACGTCAAAGATTCTTGTTTGCATCTGAGGCTAGTTCTCAGATAACCTCTGGTGCTGCGGGGACTGAGAGTTACACCAGAAATCACCTTATGTCCACCTGTAACTGTGTATTGAAGTTCTTGCAATCGAGCCATACATTTATCCACCTTCAACAAAATCACCTCAGAAAATTAGCTGAAGTTTTCAAATTTCCAACAACTTTCTATCAAAAGATCCCAAAAAGAGAATTTCAGAAATAGCAGTCAACAATCCATTAAAAAAAATGAACAAAGTCAACACAAAAGACATTTTTTGTCAGAAAGAGCAGACACCATGGAAAGATCAAAGGAGCTTAGTATCAGAGACACCAGAAAATCAAATTAAATTTTGAAGTCCAAAGATAGACCCTTTATCAGTTTAACTACAAAATGAAAACTCATTTCACAGAAATGACAGAACCCCATGACTGAAATCACTTGCTATCAGAGACTGCAGAAAAATAAAACCCTGTTGTAAGAATTAAACTCAACAAAAAGAGAACCCAATAAACAAAATTAAGAAATACCAATCACTGATACTTTAATAGATTATACTAATCCACTTTAGAAAACAAGTACATTAAAGAAGATCAAAAGAGGAGTAGGAGCGTCATTGATGTGGAGAGGAGTGGGGGAAAAAAAAGGATTATTTCTTGATTGTAATAATGAATCCACCAACCTTGTTTAGTGTTTCTCTAAGAAGAATGGGGTTTAGAGGAGGCACCACCATTTTCTTGTACTGCAACTTTGGTGGGGTTCTTGCTACCATTTTCTTTCACTTTGTTAACCCAACCAACAATTAGAAAATCAAAGTGTGTGTGGGTCTTCTCTTCTTTACGCTCCTCAAACTCCCTTTGTCTCCGAAGTGGGGGTAGGTGTTGAGTTTCTACACGAAGCAGAGAGACAAGTATACAAGGAAAAAAGTGTCTGACTTTTGCTGCCAACGGATATTTGGGTTGTAACGGTCGAATTCATATTCATCGCCGAAAATAAATGGAAACGGCTAATTTAAGAATTATAGATTATAAATAAATAAATATATTTGTTTCTTTAACTTTTGGGCGGATTACTTTATTTGAAATCTTTTTGGGCTACAATAAAATAAAGAATTTTTAGTAGGCCCTTATGCTTATATGGCCCAATCATAAGATGGAAATGTTAAAATTCACTAGCTTGATTGATTTGTCGAAAAAAACTACATAAATACACATCTTATTTTCTATTAATCTCTAAATATTTCTTACCATTAAAAAAATTACAAAAATCTCCTCTCAAAAACATCCATCTCTCCTCTCAGATACATCCTCCCCTCTTGGATACATATCTCCTATTAAGTAATGTATCATTCACAATCTATGAGCTATGTATCCGCAGGTTTTCTGATGTATCTGAGATCCTAAAAAGGGAGAGTTTTTTTGTTCCCAGGGCGGGCAGGATAGGTGCCAAGCGACATCGCTTTGTCATAAAATTTTATCAAATTATATAAATATTATGCTTAAAGTGGTATATAAATTTTATATATAAAAATAGTATGCATAAACCATAAAGTGATATATTGAACGAAATAACACTATTTGACTCTATGAATGTCTCTTGGTGCGTTGATTTAGCACCCAATTCCAATTTTGTTCTCTTTTGAGCTAACAAAAGTAAATTATCATAAATAATAGAATTTCTCATAATGTTTATGAAAAGTGGATCATTTCCAAGGTAAACGATGTATAAAAATCAGTCTAAGATCAATCACAAGTAAGAGCTTATTTATACGAGCTCTAAACTTGGTCTACTTTTTACTTTTTAAGAATTAATTACTTTGACCACTTAAGATAAAATTGGACATGAAGAAATTCAATAACTCGAATGAACACGGGGTAAATTAAATTATGTGACAGATACTACAAGCTAGTTCAGATACTTTTTTTGCTAACCACAACTATTTTCATCTTTTCCGCAGTGCATCATATCTATGAGGATCTCACAAGCAGCATTAAAGTCGACAAGTACCCTTTGCAAGGGTGTTACAAACAAATAAATACATGACATATGTTTGTGGTTTATACATACATTTCTATCATCATGTGGAACCTTACTATTAACTTGGCAAGCAAGTGATATTATTACAAGTTGCTTCAGCATGTCTAGGCTATCCCTTGGGTATTAATTAAAACTCTATTCAACTATGCAGAGCCAGAGACATCTCGTCATAAAACAGTCAACTAGAAATAGAAGATTGTTAGCCTAAGAAAAGACGAGCTTTTCGACAAATATGGCCCAATTCCTCACCAAAAGAAAATTAGCAGTCAGAATAAGAAAGAGACCGTTCCAATAAAATTCAATTCTTGAACATTTTTCGTATTCTAAAATAATTTTTCAATTCAGTGTTCATGACTTCATGGTTGAGACTGGAGATCAATGTGAATAAAAATATCAAATCCACATTCTTTGGATTAGATTGAGAGGCTACGCTTAAGCCTCTTCTTTATCGATAGTAATCTCGTTTAGTTAAAACATGAAAAGTACCTTCCACCAGAAGGGTATCCACCCAATCCAAATGGAACACGAGTCTGCTGCTACTTTGTTCCGTTTTGAGGATATGAATGAATTAAGCCAGCCAAGATTTGTTCTAACCATAAATGTATCTGCTCGATGACCACTTCTGACGGTCACCAAAATGTGTCGTCATCAAGCAAGATTTGTTTTGAGCACCAGAGAGATATTACAATGAAGAAAAATAAGGAAACCAAGATTACTTTCCATCAGCAACCACAGCATCATAAGAAACTACACAGCTAACCAACACCTTCATCGCCATTCTGTTAACTACATATAAAAATAGAGCAGCTATACTATGACATGGTTTGATGATAATAAGGTTGTGAAAATTAAAAATATAAATAAGGGAAAATTTGGGGATCCTCTCAATTTACAGACATTTCTTTCTGAACTCACTTCCTGAAAAAAGAGGGGGAGTCAAAAGCATGAGCCCATCAGGACTCCACAAATTCCGACCAATTACAAATGCAACTATGAGGAGAGGGCGTTGCTGAAGAGTAACTAACATGAGTGCCAAGCAACGGCTTCTTCATTAAAGCCACCACAACAAAGCCCTAAAAGGCAGGGTGATCACCTGGCTGTATCAGCAGCCGAGCAAGAACCTAAATACATCAGTCACTGAAATGATGCCTTCCACACGCTTGCTGCCAGCCTCCACAATGACAAGTCTCCTTGCTCCTGAAATATACACAAGATCTTCAATAACTCTCTAATTCAAGTTATTGAAGGCAACAAAATAAACTTTGATTCATACAGTAGATACTCACAAGGAAAGCAACACAAACTAGGAAGTGAGGGGGAATACAGCTATAGCAATATCGTACATCAGCAAAAAAGAAATGTGATGTTGAGATAGTGGTAAGGTCTTTTGGAAACAGTCTCTCTACCTCCACTAGGTAGTGGTAAGGTCTGCGTGCGTACACTCTACCCTCCCCAGACCCCACTTAGTGGTAGTGGGGTTTCACTGGGGATGCTGTTGTTGTTGTTGTAATGTTGAGGAACAAAAGAAGGCAAACAAGATAGAGAAAACAGTAGAAGGCTGATATAGTGGTACAAAAATGTGTTATACACATAACAGACCTCATGTAAAGGTCGTTCAAAGAAAATGGGATATTTCCATCGAAAAGATAAAACCGGTGATATTTCTCAGTGTTTGCATCACCCCATTACATCAGAAACAGATCCAGATAAGGAAAAGACTTTCCCTTTGGCATAAGTTCAGCAGCCAAAACATCATCAGTTAGCCCAAAGAATCTCTGCCTCAAGGTAATTATCAAAAGCAAAGGCAAGAATGCAAACTGAGTCTCAAACAAATGGAAGACTGAAGACATTTACCAGGAACAGCAAGTCGCTCCATTACTTTATGCAAAGGATCGGACCTTAGACACATTTGACACCTCTGTCCATTGAATAATCCATGAGGAGAACTTGCATCTTGTCCCAATTGTATTGCCTGCGGAAGAAGCAGATAAAATGAGAGATCTAGTAACAGTTTGGGCATTAAATAGCAGCCTAAACTTGCATAAAAGGTGCATATACATGCAAAAAGATGCTGTCCATGCAATTTTCGTCTAAACTCCTCAGTATTATAGCATTATGGATAAGAATAAGCTACGTAATGTGGACAAAAAGAAACAAGTAATCTCATAATATTCTCACAGGGCATATGGCATGTTGCAAATATTGATGCTATGATATCAACTGGGAAATTTCTCAATACAACTCAAACTTAAAGATCAAAAGGATCTATAGACCAGACAAAGTCTGTGTTTCCCGAATGTATATAATCTGCTCAGAACAGAATCTTATTAACTTAAGCCTCTACTGAGCCAGTCAATGCAAGAAAATTCCACTAGCTCAAACTGTTGCAGAGCAGTCTATCTAATAAGAATCAGGATCCACAGATGGTGAAGAGAACTGTATTAGCAAATGGGGTCAGACATGCATCGTTAAATAGTGGATAAGATTGAAACAAACAAAGGGAGAATCTGATTGAACATGCATAAAGAGGTACAGGACAAGCCATGATATCTAATGTTGTAGTACAATTCTCTTAAACACTTTTACCTGATGAATGCTCAATTCATCAAGCCGAATCTGTGCGTACGCTCTGTCCTTTGCCAATGCAGTAATGTCACTGTTGCAAAATGATAAGAAGGCACATCATGATGAACCAGGATTGTAATAGTAAAAGAATATGTCAGAAGAATACACAAAGTAATAGCTGCACTGTAGGTTTACATAGAGCTAACTACCTTCTACAGTAGATATCCAGCAAGGAGTCATTATCATCCACAATTGGTATCGCACTAACTTCAGCTGTAAGGCACAATAAAGAATAGGTTGGATGGCAAAGTGTACATAAAAAAAATTAAATACTTGGAGCAAAATTTTTGAAGTATCTCAATTGGATTATGAGAAAGATTCATGTAATCTGTCGGCAAGTTGAGCAAACCAGTAAATTGAACCAATTTTGAGAATCTTAGATTAAATGCTTGAACATTCAACAAAGAAAAAAAAAACAATGAGGTCTTCATGGCATCTGATTACCTCTAAACCTCTATGCATAGGTCCTAGTCCCCTTCAAAGGAAGTGTTGTAATTTAGGAGTTTTGGGAAAAAAATATTGTTGCAAAACTATAAAGAGTATAGAGGAGCTTAAGAAGTTGCTAGACTTTAATGCTATTGTTTGACTAAGTTAAAGATATACTATTTTAGCTCAGATATTTGAATAATGCATTGTATCATCTTAATGAGGACTCTATTCCTCAAATTCCAGATTTCTTTTTGTGGAACGCTGACTGGCAGAGAGGTAATAGTTTCTAACTTTCATCAATTCTTTTACTGTGTTCTATTCTCAACCTACACTGATCAGAGAACTTAAAATGTAGAGGGCTAGGTTTCCTATTTTTTTCCTCCATCATTGTCTTCTGTTTACTAGTCTTGAGCCCCAAAATGCAGCTCAGCAGCTCCTCACTTAACAGTATATTGAGTACTCCCTCCGTCCCATTTTATGTGGCATCCTATCTTTTTTAGTCTATCCCAAAAAGAATGTCACCTTACTATATAATTAGAAACAATTTAACTTTAAAATTCCCCTTTTACCCTTAATAAAATGATTTTCAGCCACACAAATATCTAAGGATTGTTTTAGACCACAAGTTTCAAAAGTCTTCCTTTTTTCCTTAAATATAGTACCAAGTCAAACAGTGCCAGATAAAATGGGACGAAGGGAGTACTAATGACCCACTACAGTTACCAAGACCCACAAAAGCTACATTTGACTGGTGATGTGAGGAGCATTTGATCTTCTTTTTTCAACTGTTCATCTGTTAAGTATTGCAGAAATGTTTACTTCATTCCCAGTGCTACACCCTCTACAACTCTAAATAATTCTGAACGTTATACAGAACTTTTGTGTTAGCATGAGGTAACGATCTTAAAGGTGCTATCTCTACTACAATGTAATTTATTTGGGTAGGAAATGCACAATACCAAAATGCTGATTCCAACTATGTATCACTCTGTGTAGTTATCTTCGCCCTAGGGTGTAAAACAGCTGGAATTTGCCTCTACAAACATATTATTATCCTATTTGCAAAAATATTGGAGTCTTGTATCTTATTTAGCTTCGAAGTATCTGAAATAGAACAAGTTTTTTGTCCAGGTGATTTTTTTCTTCTCATTCACTTATCTATTTTCCATCTACTTTTACAAGTCCTTACAGAAAGCAAAAAGAGAAAACCAAGTCATTTAAGAAACAAATAGAAAAAATAATCAAATGAAACCAGAAAAATACAATAGCAAACATGGGGAGATCAAACAAGGATTATCCCAACTTCAACTTAAGATTCAGACAGTAATAATACAGCGAAAAATCACCTTGAACTAATAAAGACAGAGCAGCACCAAGAGAAGCATTTGGTCTTAGCATTGCGATTGCCTTTCCACTTGATTCACCAATTTTCGGAACCCAGGTACCAATAGGAATTGAGCAAATTGGTTGCTGAAGAATTGGCAAGGAACTAGAAGAATGTTTAAAATGCCGGCAGATACCTGGACATTGATTAGACATTAGCCAAGGGCAAACAGTTCATTCAGCACACGAAAGAGTAACTTACACTTAAGAATCCCAGAGAGGGTGGCCAGGTGTAGCAGCTGAGGAAATGAACCATCAGGTGAAGAAGAATGGATAATGGGAAGAGTTGAGACCTTGTTTTGCAGAAATCTTAAAGCAAGATCCTTCAAAGAGTCATAAGGCCCACCCTGCATGATGCAGAAGTTGGCAGATATTAATGCAAACAGCAATATGCAGAAGCTAAATTAAAGGGCAAAGCAACATAATAATTAACGCCAGTAGAGTGTCAAATGACAAGCAATTTTACCTTAATGTCAAACATCCCTTTCCCATCCCCAAAACAAATTCTTAAGGCTAAAATACAAGCAAAAGAAGTTCAGGTGGTTCTGAGACGAGCACATTTACAGATAAAAGAACAAATCAATATGCAGAAAGGACTCTCAAGGGGCCTTCAAAAGAAGATTCTTCAAACCAGAGAAAAAATCAAGTAATGTGGAGTGAGATTTCCGAAAATAGCAGCAGCTCTGCCTATATTATGTTGCATAAACATCCACCAAACTTTGAAGTTCATACACCAATCAGGAAACCAACCATTTAATGCACCGTACAGTGCATCTCAGCACTCTAAAGCCAAACCTCCAACCAGAAGCCTGCCAGAGGCTTATTTTACAGCAGTAACTAGATTTTATGCTACATATATACCACTTGAAAGCACATTCTGGAAGGCATTTCTGTGTCTTTTGGTAGTATCCATAGGAATGGAATCTTTCTCTTTTAATTATCTCTTTGATCCACTCAAAGTTAAATTTTAAGTGGCATCATTCATGTCCTATTTGATGGACTTGTTTATCACGCCTCTACACAGCAAGATGCCAACCAGAGGCCTAGACTCTTGAATGTTCCATAACAAAAGCATTTTAGTCCAAAATATCTTCACATTCATGAATATCATACTTCTGTTTCTACACTCCTACCACTACACCAGCAAACTGCACATGCTTTAAATTACTTTAAAATATTAAAACACAAAAAGCAAGAAAATTATGGAAGGGAAAAAGACTGTCTTGTCAACAAAATGCTAAACAGGAAAAAAAGCAGGCCCTCCGTAATCAAGATAGGATACTCGCTTAAAATTTACGAAATGGCAAAAATCAACGAAAACAAAGATTCTATTTTCAATAGTTTCAAAGGTTTGAAGGAGCGTAGCCTTATTCAATAGGAATTGATAGGATTTTCTCCTACAATAAGATAAGAGGTAAGAAGCAAGGAAGACTGTTTATGAACAAATATCACATTCAGAAAGACTACTGGCCTAATTTCACTCAATTATATAAACTATACTTGGTGTGATTTCTTTATGTCATTTCATCAATTTACACACATCTAGGCTAAAAGTTTGTTAGTAACTAGTATTAAAAAATATTTAGATTAATAGATTAATGCTATAAGCAGTAGTAATTCAATAACAATATCATTTCAGATTTAATTTAGCAACCCACATATCTGATCCACAGCAAGCATCAACCATACTCAACCAAATAAAGTTTCAAACAGACTCCACTTTCTTCTTTTTCTTTTTTTTTCTAGCCTCTCCTATCTCTTAGATTTGCTTAGCAGATTTTGATGGGAAGACTACTTGGTTAAGGCTCTCAAGAAGCTAGAAAGAGAAAAGCTCAAGGTCACTCATATAAATTCCTGGAAAAGTTAAAAGAAATCCTAATACCTATTGGCCAAAATCAAGAAAAAAAAACATGATAAACAAATGTCAGGAGAAATGATGAGAATATTGTAAATGATTAGCTGAGAATTTCACTTACATGGACAAGACTTCTTGAATACGAATTCAAGTTACAGTCGATTTGCCTGTTGATGCGTAACTTCCCCCCTTTCCAAGCAGATATAGAGTGTGTCTCGAGCTCTTCCTCCGTCAAATTAGATCCATGATTCCCAAGCTGAAGTTGGATAACATATTAGTATTAATATTCATTTATTTGTATCAATAGTATTTATATTCATTACGAAAGAACGATGTCAAGTCCCTTAAAATTAAAGGGGAAGGAAAGAAACTGCACAGAATTAATTGACAAAATATGGAACCTTACATTCGAACCCCAAAAGACATACTTGACCTCCCCTCTACTACCAAGCAAAGGACAAGAAACACTCTGATACCATTCACGGCTGCAAACATATGCATTTTTTTGCTAGTTTTTTGTGTAAACTAGTTATTGTACAAGGTGTAGATGCAATGATAGACAAAATAGCTGATTTGCACAACCCGTACGCTTGTAGCACTGGCTTAGTGATCTTTTTTTTCCATATAAAAAGAAAAGATACTGTGATTCCACTAAGAATAATAGTCCTCCAGGATATTCACACACAACATGTCTACCATGGAAATAAATAAGTAAACCCTTCCTTCCAAGTTAAATAGCTCAGTTTGACTTAACACAATTGGTAGTAAAATATAATCATTTGCGAGTAGGAGTCCAAATTACAGATTGTTCCATGACAACTGATCCAAAAGTAAGCTGATGGACTTTTAGATTCACTTGGATATCTGAAAGCTGAAAGTGGGATCCCTCAAAATTTTGATTGTATATTATAAATGGTGAGTTATTGATTTCAGGGAAGTTAACGTTGATTTGAGTTGGCGCCAGAAAGGAGAGCATAGCATTCAATTTGGAAAGGACCAAGTAGCCATGTTGCTCCTTTGAGCAGATTTTATAGAATTTCCTGTTTGAAGATGAAAGCTTTATCTGGCTCTGATACTTAACAACTTCATCGAACGAAGTTGTAGAGGAAGAGAAGGAAATTTTCAGATAAATCAAATCCCAAATTAAGCATCTTATATAAATAAGAACAAGAACAAAAAAAAAAACAGGAAAGTTTTCTATATGAAGTAAGCAGAACTGAAGGTTGAAGTAAAGCTCAAGAATGACTCCACATGTAGATGGTGAGACAAGGTGTAATGACCCGGAATGTCGTTTTTGGGATTTTTCATAAAATTAGTGTTTTACCCCTCTTGATAGTTGCCCCGAGTAAAATTTGATTAGTCGGTGAAGTTAATTTGAAAATTTTAAATTATTCGATAATTGCGGTTATTTAATTGATGGGTATGTATTAAATAAATTATTTATTTAGTTGGTGGTTAATGGGTCAATGTCATAATTTAATATCCTATACTATTTGACCCATGATAAAATAAGTTAGTAGGGTTTAACATATTAGTCCACAATTTGAGAAAGAGAAAAAGAGAGGTAGAAACTCACCTATGCGGACGAAAGCAAAAACTGAGAAGTTCGTGAAGAACTTATGCGACCTCAACAAGGGAAACAACGAGTATTAGGTAAGAACAAAATCTATCAAATTAATTTTCTATCCTTGTACAAATATATACTAGATATGTATATTTAGTTGACCGAATTGTAGTATGTTAATTGGTTTTGGGGTTGTGTGGAAGCCATTAAATATCAATTATCTCAATCTGTACCCATTTTATATATTAAATAATGTTGGATGAAGAAATTGGAGTGCACGCCAATGCACTGTAGCATGTTGGTTGTTAGAGTTGTGGATTAGTTAAAGGTTTTGGTCATGTATTGTAGTGTTGGAAATTTATAAGAACAAAGGATTGTAAGTGACCATTCTTCTTGTGATGCTGGCCAATGATTGCCATTATGAATACATTGTGATAAATTAAAATAAATTAATGATGGGGTTTAGATTTTTGTAAAGTTTTCAATAGTTAAGGATGCTGATTACGTCTCTAAATTTGGTTACCATCTTATGATTCAAGTTTGCATATTAATATACATAATTGAATAATAGATATATTATATTATATGAATACCATTAGATTATGGTATTGGAGGAGTTAGGACCTAACCCTAGGCTTGAAATTTGGAAAAAAATATGAGAGTGGACATGTTAATTGGCACCAAGATTAGGAACTTGATTATAAATTGAGTGAGTTTTTGGGTCTAGGCTAGACCTATAATAATATGAGTGTTGTTAGTTTCGAAATCTTATTGTGATTTTAATATGAATAGATTGCTTTGAGCTGGAAGTCCAACGAAAAGGGAAGGCTCAAGTCTTAGAGTGATTGTTCGACTATTTGAGGCAAGTAGATTTCTAAACCCTTGTTAAGTGTATGGAATTCGTGTATTTC